CCAACTTCAGGGTGCTGTGGTTGAAGTTGAATCTATGATGGTTGGAGGAAAGCATCTCAGAGGATTTAATTCCCACACAAATGATCTGTAAAGGTGGTTGAAGCGTTGGAGGTGAGTCCCTGTTTAAGTCATTGCTGATGTGGAGAAATGAGAAGGATTGGTGATGTGTGTCTGTTGAAAACATCACTTTTCTGACAGCTTACAGGTGAGAATCATGTGGACCTCACACAGTTCATTAGAGCATAATTTAGATAATAACTTTCTCTACAGTCTTACTTTCATAGAACTTGAGATACTTCAGTAGTTAAAGGGCAGCAGAAACATCTGTAGGCACTTTTCCACTGTTCTCTGCCAACCACAGCAGCAGCTCATAAACCAGAGCACGCTTTCTGCTCGGTGTTCAGGAGTGGACGGGCACATGAAATAAAGCCTGCTGGCTGCAGACGCACAGAGAACACGCCCACCACGCTCTTTACTTTCAAATCACATGATTGAACATGCAGTGAGACTTTTAAAAACAGATTTTCCAAGTTCGAGTGATGCTAAACAATCACCTGGTGAGGACCTGAGGGAGAGATGTTTGCAGGCTGTGGTTTCTGCTGAGCCGACGTCCAAACGTGAAGTTGTCAGGTGTCGTGCCAAACTCGGTCTCCCCGACAGAATTTGTTTCCCCTGCGTCGGGAGCACGCGCTGGACTGTCCAAATCACGGACAAACAGTATCCCACATTGCTGATTTTTCGTTCACAAACACTTCTTATTATGACGCATTACTCCTGAAACCTTGGAGGATTTAGCTCTTTATATAGTAAAGTTACAGGAGAATAAAAATAGTTATCAGCCAAAATGTTAATGCTTTATTAAAATAATCCCATCTGATCCCCCGTGAGCAATAAATATATAATTTTCTGTTGTAACCCTCAAACTGAATGGTAATGTAACGATACTAATTTTTAACTTTTTCACAAAATGAAAACATCAGTACTTCCTGCTCCCAGCACACACCGGCAGCGAGCTGACCCTGGCTGCGCCGCCGCCTCCAGCATACTGATTTGTTCTCTGAATGTTTTCAATCCTTTCATTCCGATCTTGAATGTGACATTGTGCATACATCGCTGGTGGGCTGTGGAACAAATAGTTGAATCATAAAGAGTCGAGCGTGGTCATCAGAGACAGAAAAACATGAAAGAGACGCAGGAAGACTGCTACAGCACTAGTCTGTGAGGAATCCCATTCACAGGGCTGCTTTCTTTCAGTTAACGGATCATTTTTACTCCCAAAGTATGTTTTATAGTTCGTATAACCGGTTTGCCTTCTGTGGGAACATTATTATTCCTGCCAGACACACAGAGGTTGAGTGGAAACCATGGAGGAGGGTGATATCAGGATATTTCATCTCTGAGTCTGAAAACTACAAATGTGAGCCTCTGTTTCTCTAGATTAGAAGAGCTGTCATGTCGTGAACACTTACGGGGACACATTAAGCTAATGTGAAATGAAAGGGTTCCACACGTGGAAATTTAATCTTTATTTTAAATATTTTTTGCATCCCATTCTTGTCCACAGGTGTAAAGTGTGGCAGCAAACAGAAATAATGTTGCCATGGATGCGCTGAGTTTAGTTGGGCTGCAACTTCTGTTTTTAACTTTTTATTGTTCATATTCTGTAAATATAAGTACGCTGAAAATACCGCCTACAGTTCTGCTTAGTTTGAGTCTGTGTGTACCGCAAACTACCTGATTCTCAGTGCAGCTTCTGAGTGCTTTAGTGGACGTCATCAGTCACTCTGTCCTCTGGAAGGCCTCTGGTCATTTGAATTATAACCTCCTTTTAACCACCAAGTTTACAAAAATTAGCCTAAATTTAATGCAAAATCCCCCAATTTGGAAACCTGACGGTGTTGGTCAATACTGACAGGTCCAGCTTGTTCTCTGTGAGCTTCAGACTATGGGGCGCCGTTTGTAAAGTGAAACATGCTGAAATTAACGGCAACATTTTTCCACATTTAGCTCAAAACAAGTCCTTTTTTACAACATTTAGTAAAATATTTGTAACTTTTCATATTTAAAACAGAATTTTAAATGTTAAATATTCAATCTAAATGTTAAATCTAAATGTTTAGGCTAACATGCAAATTTATTGCACGGATCAGCGGAAATACCAAAATAAAAGCTTCCCGAAAACCTTTAACATTTAGATTGAAATATAATATTTAGATTTAATATTTAATATTTAGATTTAATATTTAACATTTAGATTTAACATGTTGTAAAAAATTACTCGAAAAAACATGTTTTTGTAAGGTTTTGAGCTAAATGTGGAAAAATGTTGCTGTTAATTTCAGCATGTTTCACTTTACAAACGGCGCCCCATATCAGACTGCATTATATCTGTAAGATACACCAAGACATAAAAATATTTATTGAAATCATAATATTTGACAAAAATTTTTCTAATCATGTGCTCTATTCAATTCGATTTTATTTGGAAGTCGATCATCACAACAACAGTCGCCTCAAGGTGCTTTATATTTTAAGGTAGATCCTACAATAATAGATACAGAGAAAAACCCAACAATCATATGACCCCCTATGAGGAAGCACTTTGGTGACAGTGGGAAGGAAAAACTCCCTTTTAACAGGAAGAAACCTCCGGCTCAGGGAGGGGCGGTGAGGGGAGGAAGACAAAAGACACGCTGTGGTAGAGAGGTAATTTGAAATGCAGAATTTCAACAAACATCAGCAAACACACAAACTGTTTGTGTGCAGTTTGTCTCACATGTGTTGCAGCTAAAAGTCCAGCTGCTTATTTCACCGGGAGAGAAAAGACAGAGCTAAGTTCACTCAGAGATGGAGAAAGATAAGAAAGACAGGAGAGGAAGAAGAGAGCTCAGATTTAAAGGGAAGGACTGCTTATTTAAAGCTCACATGTAAATCCTCATGTTTTTAAATCTGTGCATGTGACATGTTTTTCATACTGTGAAACCTGCTGTAAATCAAACTGAGGCAGACTAATGTGTTTTAAAGGCTGCATGAAAAACTGCAGGATAAACAGCTTAGTTTGCTGCTGTGATGGATTTGCAGTAAGAACAGTGTGACTGGTGCACAGTGGCTGTGCTTCATGGTCACAGCTCATAGCAGAGATTCATATGAATGTTAGCTGATGATGCTGATATTCATTCACTGAATCTCACCTTCATACCAACATTAAAGTGTCTAATGTAAAGACAGCATCAGCAGTGTACTGTCAGTGTAGAGGACGGGCATCAGCCAGGACAACTCATGAAACATCTGCTCACATCTGGCCGAATTCAGGCGTGTACACCCACAAAAGCAGCAGGTCAGCTGATCACAGCCTGTACACTAAGAAAATCTACTGGAGCTCTCAGTAGAAGTTATTGTGAGTTATGATTGTTTTCCCCACACTGAGCCATTACAACCAGTTTAGTGCCCCCCACCTCCCCCCACCGGCTGCATCCACGTTAACCCCTGACTGCTCACATTTCCCTGTTTAGAGGCAAAGTCACCCTCTACAATGTAGGCAACAGAAAATAGTTATCATTTTTATTTTCCATCTTTTTCTCATGAGATTCATTTCCTGGAGCTGTGTCATGTCACCATATTTGTATGACCCAGCTGTCACAGCGCGTGCTGCTCTGAAGTGTCCACACGGGGGCGCAGCACGCGCAACAAACGCGCGTGGAGCTGCTGAGCTGCAGACGGCTGTCATTAGCGGCTGTACACGCGTGTCAGTGACAGCACGACCGAGGCTGTGTCGCGGTGCTGTAAAGTGATGTCACGGCCGGTGTGTGCGCGATACTGCACATGCTCAGAGTAATTCTAAGTGAGTTTATATATTATATATGTTTGCGTCTTTTATTCCCACTCGTGGTCTGAGGGGTCAGCCGCTGTAGGCTTCTGTGCGCGTGCAGGCTGTGCAGACCAAACGACCCCCCCCTCCTGACCACCTCAGCCGCGCTCCTCCACCCTGATCCTCTTAAACTGACGGAGGCTTCCCCGCTGCTGCGCACGGCTCGCGCGCAGACGGCACTGAGGTTTTTCTTCATCTGCTCACGACAAGTTCAGCAGCTGCGACGGAAGGAAGCGAGGTTCAGACGCATGGTTCAAAGACACAAGAGCACCAGAAGCTTCGCTCTGGAGGGATGCTCACTGAGTGAGGACAGGATTCCCGAGCCCGGACAGAACTTGACGGGAAACACGAGTGATCCTGGGATTTTCCTGAATGGGAAAGTCTCGCGCATCATAGTTCATCTGCTCCGGCCGCCTTTTTGCTTAACCAAATGCCACTCTAATGCCCACAGGTGGGGTTAAAAGCCCCCTGTTTGGCTTGAAATCGCCTTGACGCCCCTGTGGAGGATTTCTCTGGCGCTTCGTTCCCGAGGAGCGCAGCACAGCCGCTGAGATGGACCGACACACTGCGCCATGCGTCACCGCCAACCTGACAGGATACTAACCGTCATTTATTTAAGACAACTTTCACATTTTCAGAGTGGTTTAAGGTCTTTTTTCCCCCGTAGCCATTTTCAGTAAACTTTTGCTCCGCGGTCCTCCTCGTCTTTCTCATCGTCACTCGGATTTCCATGAAGCGACCCATCGGGTGATTATAGCCACTTTCTTTAGAGGATTTTGCTGTGGGTGCAGCGGGACATCATGTGGACGCCGACAGAGGATGAGAAAATTGGAGTGGGTGAGTAAATCAGTGATGTTTGTCTGGTACACGGCTTTGTTTTTTACGCAGAGGATGGTGCCAAACTCATCACCTCCAGAAACCGCAGTTAATGTTTGCGCACTTTATTTTCGTATAAAAGCTTTACAGACATTCAGCTGCTCCTGCGCCTTCGATGTCTTGGTGCTAAATCATGTTGTAAAGTAAATCTGTAATCTGTGAAATGAAAGGGGTCATCTCACTGGAATCTGTTCCAAAGAAGCGCCCGTGGGTATGAGGAACTGTGCAGAGACTACAGGTTCTTATCTGCACACCGTCTACAGTTTTCCCTTTGAGATGTGTCTGCGGCACCTGAGGCGGTGGACGCCGGAAATGGTGTTTTGTTTTATCTGTTCTGTCAAGTCCTGTCTCCGGTCTGCGCGCCTGGTCTGTGGTCCTTGTCATCTGTTCTGAGCCTTACAGCAGTCCTGTGTAAGTGTGACGGGTGCGGGATCTGGTGTGGGTTTACAGTGCGTGAATGTGGAAAGTGGGTGAAGTGAAACCGAAGCAAGGACAGGAACAGGATGCGGTGATAATGGGCAGTGCAGGTAACTGAGACTTGACAGCAGTGATTGATTACGCAGCGTGCTGTGGCAGCAGAATGTTTTCAGATGAGAGCTGGTGCTTTGGGCCCGTTAGCCAAGGATCCACAGTCCAATTATTCTCACTCCCATCCCCATTTATCTCCCGTTTATCTGCTGCATATACGCGTCTTTCAGGCAGCCACACCTAAAGGCCTGTTTGGAAAAACACTGCTGACCCAAAATTGACTTTCTTACCTCCACCAAAGAGATCATGTGATCCTTGATTCTACGCTTATTAAAAAGTTATAGAGAGAGTTGCATCAGTGGTGTGGCTTTTCCCATCTTGGAAGTGACGAACGTCTGGAGTCAGCAAGGATCCAGGAACGACTCTAAACATTGTGAGATGTGGTTAAATCATGTTGCCACAAACGCTGAGTGACATCATCTTGATGTTCTCATGAAAATATCACAAACTCATCAACGTCCTGGAAGGATGTTTTAGTGTGTGCGGAGTCTTGTTCTTGGTCTTGTGCTCCTGCTGTGTTGGTGCTTTTTAAATGTTTGTTTGTTGTGAATGTTGCTGCATCTCTAAAGTTTTTTTGTGCAGTCTTGTCACTAAAACTTCAGCCATGAACTCTTTACTGTCACATTTCAGGCCTGCTTATACAATAAAACGATTGGTTATGGAGGACGGTCTCTGCCTATTCCCAGTCCTACTCTGTCCTACATGTCACGTTGATCAAGGGAACAAAATCTTAGTTTAATTTTATAAGAATTTTATTGACACTCTAATCAACGTATATTTATGAATACAGCATAAAATCTCCTTAATAATAATTACTGCTCCCGGCTGCAGAAGTA